TCTTGTGTCAATTACATTTACAAAACCCACTTCTTAAATGCAAACCCTGCTTTGAAACTCTCCCTGGACAGATGTAATAGGACCCATTAACACCATACCATTAATAAATATATCTTTCATATCCCCAGAGTCAAACTTAATCTGTGTAAACACACTATGCAAATAAAGGGACCTAGTCTATAGAACTCACTCCCTAATGAATTGAAAAGCTGTCTAACTTTTGCCTCATTCAAAAAGTACTTAATTTCATCTTCATAGTTTCCTACCTTGTGCTTTACAATTGCACTGTATCTAGTGCTACCCAATCCCCCAATCTTTATGTACCTAAGCCAAACAACTTTACTATTGTGATCATTGCTGTCATCTTATATGTGCTATATTGTGCCTATTAAGCTTTGCTAAATTACCAATCAAGCTGTCAATGCTGTCAATCAGAGCTACCGATGTGCTTTAATATTCTGTACCTACTAATCTCTCTCGTCTCATTTTCTTGCAATGTACCTGTTATCATTTTTATAAATTTTGCTAAAATTTACCTCCTTAAAATTATCTGTTAGATTAAGGACCTGCCCAAAACACTGTGCATACTAATGGCTTTACAAAAATGTAGACACCATGCTATGTATCCTCACAAACTCAATGTACCTTCTTGTATATATATATAAATAAATAAATATAACAGGAATCAACCAAATTGACATCAGAACTCCTGACACAAACAGGTTCTAGAACAAGAGGACAGATTCCAGCTAAGGACATCAAGTTACAGAAAAAAATATTAAAAAGTTTTCTTTTCCAAACAGAGTGGTAGACAGTTGGACAGAGTTAGGTGAGAGGGTGGTGGAGGCCAAAACCATCAGTATTTTCAAAGTATTATATGATAAAGAGCAGTCCGTCTAATTACCACAAGCTACCATAAGTTACACAAGCTTCACAAAGCTTCCTGGCAATATGCTAGTAATGAATAAATATGATATATTTACTCATTATAATGTTAGTGGTAAATGTACAACATGAAAAAACATAATTTTAATCTGAAAAAGTATCTTTTTATAATGAAATTTGACGAAATTAAGAGCTGGTGATGCCAAATCAAGTCGACGATCCAAGCGACGGTTAGGTTAGGTTAGGTTAGGTTTGGTTTGGTTTGGTTTGGTTTGGTATATTTGGTTTGGTTTGGTTTGGTTTGGTTTGGTTTGGTTAGGTTAGGTTAGGTTAGGTTAGGTTAGGTTAAGTCAGGTTAGGTCAGCCTAACCTAACATATCATATTTATTCATTACTAACGTATTGCCAGGAAGCTTTGTGAAGCTTGTGTAACTTGTGGTAGCTTGTGGTAATTAGACGGACCCATAAAGAGTGCTGGGAAGGCAAAACACCACGAGCATACCTTGAGGTTACCTTGAGGTGCTTCCGGGCTTAGCATCCCCGCGGCCCGGTCGTTGACCAGGCCTCCTGGCTGCCGGACTGATCAACCAGGCTGTTGGACGCGGCTGTTTGCCGCCTGACGTATAAGTCACAGCCTGGTTGATCAGGTATCCTTTGGAGGTGCTTATCCAGTTCTCTCTTGAACACTGTGAGGGGATTGCCAGTTATGCCCCTTATGTGTAGCGGAAGCGTGTTGAACAGTCTCGGGCCTCTGATGTTGATAGAGTTTTCTCTCAGAGTACCTGTTGCACCTCTGCTTTTCAACGGGGGTATTCTGCACATCCTACCATGTCTTCTGGTCTCATGTGATGTTATTTCTGTGTGCAGGTTTGGGACCAGACCCTCTAATATTTTCCACGTGTAAATTATTATGTATCTCTCCCGCCTGCGCTCAAGGGAGTACAGATTTAGGCTCTTTAGTCGGTCCCAATAGTTTAGATGTTTTACTGAGTGGATTCTAGCAGTAAAGGATCTCTGCACGCTCTCCAGGTCAGCAATTTCTCCAGCTTTGAAAGGGGCTGTCATTGTGTAGCAGTACTCCACTCTAGAGAGCACAAGCGTTTTGAAAAGTATGATCATCGGTATAGCATCTCTAGTGTGAAAAGTTCTTGTTATCCAACCTGTCATTTTTATTGCAGTTGTGACGGCTACTTTATTGTGTTCTTTAAAGGTAAGGTCTTCCGACATGAGTACACCCAGATCCTTTACATTGCCTTTTCGTTCTATGTTATGATTTGCCTGAGTTTTGTACGTGGTTTCCGTTTTTATATTTTCATTTTTTCCATAGCGCTTGAGCTGGGACTTATCTTCGTTAAACACCATATTATTTTCTGTAGCCCATAGAAAGACCTGATCTACATCTGACTGGATGTTTGCCGTGTCCTCTATGTTGCCTACTCTCATGAAGATCCTAGTGTCATCTGCAAAGGATGATACAGTGCTATAGGTTGTGTTCTTGTCTATGTCCGATATGAGGATGAGAAAAAGTACTGGAGCAAGCACAGTACCCTGGGGGACTGAGCTCTTCATGGTTGATGGGCTGGATTTTATTTTGTTGACTATTACACATTGGGTTCTGTTGGTCAGGAAATTGTAGATCCATCTGCCTATTTTTCCAATAATTCCTCTTGAACGCATTTTATGTGCAATAACACCATGGTCACATTTATCAAAAGCTTTTGCGAAATCTGTGTAAATTACATCAGCGTTTTGTTTGTCTTCCATAGCATCTAATGCCATATCATTGTGGTCCAGCAACTGTGACAGGCAAGAGCGCCCTGTTCTGAAACCATGTTGTCCGGGGTTATGGAGATGCTCTGATTCCATGTATTTTGTGATCTTACTTCTTAGCACTCTCTCAAAAATTTTTATGATGTGCGATGTTAGTGCTATTGGTCTGTAATTTTTTTCCTCTGCCTTATTTCCTCCTTTATGAAGTGGTGCTATCTCTGCTGTTTTTAGTATATCAGGAATAACACCAGTATCTAGGCTTTGTCTCCACAGAATGTGGAGGGCCTGCGATAGTGGTTTATACAGTTCTTGATGAATATGGAGTTCCAAGAATCCGGACCTGGTGCAGAGTGCATAGGCATACTGTTTATGGCTTCTTCAAAATCCAGTGGGGATAGGGTGACGTCTGATATATGATTTGATGTTGGTATCATATCCATGAAAAATTCATTTGGGTTATCAACCTTTAGTGTGTTTAATGGCTCACTGAAAACAGAGTCGTACTGCTTCCTCAGTAGCTCGCTCATTTCTTTGTTGTCATCGGTGAAAGTTCCATCTCCCTTTCGCAGGGGCCCGATACTAGATGATATAAAAGCAGAGAAATTGATGTAACGATGACCAGATTAAGGCTGGGACATACCAAACTAGCAGCACACAGCTCTAAGTACAGAACAGACATCAATGAACTCTGTACTCACTGTCAGGTGCCTGAAACAGTCGAACACTATCTCCTGCACTGCTCCCGACATTATAGTGCCAGAGTAAATTTCAAACAAGTCTTTATCGCACTTAAAATACCCTTCACCATCGAGCATATATTAGGAGGTGGCGACCACTCGTTACAAGAAAAATACCAAATAGTCAAAGCACTGGCTAAATATCTGCAGTCGACCAACAAATTGGGTCACATCTGACCCGCGCCACATTTATACCTGGCGCCACCAACAGCTAAACACAGAAAACAACTGCCTCGTCGCAGCACCAAGGATCAGCTGACGCCATAAACACAACACACCGCCCTACGGTGCGGCAAGTCTGCCTACAACACACACCTCTGTTTTAATCACCGTTCCTCTATCTACAGCACAACGCAACAAGCACCTTGGTAGCTCCGATGATCTTCAACATAAACGGGTCCAACAACATCAGTACTGGTGCAGTCATCGGGAGGACAAACCCTTCATGCAAACTGCACCTACTATCAACAAGAAGAAGAAGATGTGGTTTTTTATCTTGATTTTGCATAGGAGAACAAATATTTCGGATTTCTCTCTATTTCACTGATGGCCTTTTGCTCTCTTTGCCTCTCCTGGATTTTGTATGATTCTTGTAGCTTGCGTTCAATTGTTTCTATTTCTCTACCTAACCTTCTTCACCGTTCTTGAGATAGGGTGCGACTCTCAAGTTGTTCCGCGATTCGTTTTCTTCGCCTAAATAGGGGAAGACGTTCCCGTTCCAATCTGCATCTCTTCCTCTTTTTTCTTAGGGGTATGCAGTTTGAACATATTTCTAGTACTACCGAGCTTATTTTTTCCAGGCACTGGTTCAGGTTTGCATTTTCTAGCTGTTCTTCCCAGTTTATTTCTGTGAAGTCCTGGTTTATTTGCTCCCAGTTTATCTGTTTATTATTGAAGTTGAATTTGCTGAAATCTCCTCCACCGGGAATCTGGACTGGTTTTGAAGGTCTACTCCCCATGGTTGTCATAACTTCAATTAAGTTGTGATCTGAGTAACAGGTATTTGTAATCGTTATGTTCCTGATCAATTTATCATTATTAGTGAAAATGAGGTCAAGCGTGTTCTCCTTCCTAGTTGGTTCTACTATTTGCTGGTTTAAGGCAAACCTGTCGCACATCCGTAGCAGGTCATTTGCATGTGCCTGTTCATTTAGGCTACTTCCTGGTATTCTTTCTGATATTTAAGCGCAGGTTGGACATGTATATGAGTGGGATTGGGTGGTTATAGATAGGAGCTGCCTCGTATGGGCCAATAAGCCTTCTGCAGTTGCCTTTGTTATTATGTTCTTATTACTGTATTAGCCAGGTGCTTCCATTTCAGGTGCCGTAGGTTGAAGTCCCCAAGCACCACAAAGTGAAAAACTCCCTAAAGACAGTTTTGCCTGACATTAAAACGTAAAGCAATAAAGCATAATTAGGTAGCTAAACAATTACTGTGCAAAATATTAAGGGAGAGCACAAGTAAGAATATATCAGGAGAAAGCACCAAGTCGGGAAAACCGGGCCAGAATCAAAACGCACAGAGGTGCCCCATAATACTTTTCCAGTTTCCTGTCGCAATTACAGCTTCTACCAGTGAAACATTACTACATAAACAATCAGACTTACCTCAAATGTCAATCTTAACACCATGCACCTTCGTATTGTGAGGATAATTAGTAAAACACCCACGAGAAGAAACCAGCTCAAGCGATGTTGGACTTATTTGTTGTCAAACAAAATCAACAAAGCCGCAGACAACAATAACTGTCGCTGAGAAAATATCTCACGCCAATATTACCAAACTCAAATAGCAATTAGAATATTATTAGAAATCAAATAATATTTTTGTAGTAAGACAATTTTTTTTCAAAGTATGAGTAATGACGCACAAATTGCGTCTATATATATTTATCTGGATTTACCTGATGTTTACTTTATTTATCTTTATTCATTTATTTACTTATTTATTTATAGCTAAATACTCGGTTCTCTGGGTAAATGATTGTGTAATTATCCCATTTATTAATTCATGTGCTGATGATTATGGTCATTGCTCAGTATGGATTTTTATTTATATTATTGCATGCTAAAGAATATTTCTGGCTATTATCTTTACCCCATTTAATTGTTATGTTTGTCACTCTTAGCGTAGTTACATTGTTTTCCCAAATTATGCAGTGCTTTCCTTTCACCCCCCCCCCCCCCCCCCCCCCCGCGTTTAGACACCTGTTGGCAAGGCCGACTTAATATACTTTGATCACTGCGGGAAAAGAACCGTACTAAGTCTCAAGGGTTGTAACAAAGACATCTATTATCATTATTTATTTTGTGAGATATGTATATGTATATCTGTGTTATAGTTTGTGAGGATACATAGCATGGTATTTACAATTTTGTAAAGCCACTAGTACGCGCAGCGTTTCGGGCAGGTCCTTAATCTAACACATAATTTTAAGTAGGTAAATTCTAGTAGAATTAATAACAGACCATTACTTCTCATTTCTCCTAACCCACATTAATAAACCACCTCTAGATACAAGGAAGATAAGCTTTAGGCTGCACAATGAAACTTCTATAAGCAACTTTATTGCTGCTGCTGCTAATATCAACTGGGAGGCTGAATTAGGTGACATAATGCACATCAACCTAGCAGTGCAAACATTTCCTCAGAAAACTCTGAACCTGTATAACTCCCACTGTCCTATGCTAACGAAACAAGTTACAAATAAAAGGTTAAACACTCCATGGCTTACAAAGGGTATACTTAAATCTATTAATAAAAAACGTGACCTTGAGAAGTATAGGTTAGGAGTCGTCTCCAAAGAATTTTCAAAGATTTACTCATCCATGCTGTCTAAAATAATTAGAAGAGCCAAAATAAAATACTACGAAAATAAATTTACCCAAATTAAGGGCAACATTAAGATAACATGGAGCACTATCTCCCAAATATTGGGTTCAAAAAAGATTTTAAATAAAAATCCAATTCTCCTGTCCAATGACGATGGCCTCAGACACTGCTATTGAATTCAATAGGTTCTTTTCATCCATTGGTACATCCCTTGCTCATGATATTCCATCCTCACTCACTAATATTAAAGACTACCTTACAGTAACTATCCTGAGTCCCTGTACTTATCTAATTGTGCTTGCGGGGGTTGAGCTCTGGCTCTTTGGTCCCGCCTCTCAACCGTCAATCAACAGGTGTACAGGTTCCTGAGCCTATTGGGCTCTATATCATATCTACACTTGAAGCTGTGTATGGAGTCAGCCTCCACCACATCACTTCCTTCCTGTACCTATCTCCCGCTGATTCCTCTGATGTTAATTCAAATTCAAAATTCAAATGTTTATTCAGGTAAAGAGGTAAAGTACATACATACAAGGTGTGATACAAACATTGATGGATTTATAGATAGAGCTGGTACATACAATGCGTAAAGCCACTATTACGCAAAGCGTTTCGGGCAGGAAAAACACTAAAGCTAAAACTTAATACTAATTGAGATTAAAGTATAAATTGTGTTGAGAAAATATAAAAATAAAAAAGGGGGAACATGGCAGAAAAATAGCAAATACTGTATACAATTTGGTCGACAAACCGCATTGTTTAAAATAACAGACATGGGCTGACATTTAGGGGTAAGGTAGGTTACATGGAGTTAATTAGGTAGTGCTTAGTTTTTATCTTAAACTGGTTGAGAGAAGTACAGTCTTTAACATGATTGGGAAGGTCATTCCACATTCTGGGTCCCTTGATTTGTAGAGCATTTCTAGTTTGATTAAGTCGTACTCTTGGAATGTCAAATAGGTATTTGTTTCTGGTGTGGTGCTCATGGGTTCTATTACGGTCAGGATTGACATTACAGTCCAGCATTTATATATATAAAATACACATGAGAGAGGATGTGCAGTGACTTAATACCTAACATATTCAGAGATTTCAACTCTGCTCTCATCTCTCTATATTATGCACTAATCTATCCCTATCTTAATTATGGTATCTTTGCATGGGGTTCAACCACTGCAAACCACCTCAAGTCCATCATCACCCAGCAAAAATCTGCTATCAGAATAATAACAAATTCTGCTTTCAGACAACACTCAGCCCCCTTGTTTAACTCCCTAAACATGCTAAACATAATCTCACTCCACAAATTCTCTTGTGTCAACTACATTTACAAAACCCTGTTCTTAAATGCAAATCCTGCTCTGAAATTCTCCCTGGACAGATGTAATAGGACCCATTATCACCACACCAGAAATAAATATATCTTTGATATCCCCAGAGTCAAACTTAATCTGTGCAAACACTCTATGCAAATAAAGGGACCCAGTCTATGGAACTCACTCCCTATTGAATTGAAAAGCTGTCCAACTTTTGCGTCATTCAAAAACAATACTAAAAAGTACCTAATTTCACCTTCATAGTTTTTTACCTTTTGCTTTAAAATTGCACGGTATTTTTGATAAGTTTGGCAGGATTGATATAGGTCTGAAGTTGTTAACATCAGTGAGATCACCACATTTGTGGACAGGGGTTACTCTCGCTTTTTTTTTTTTAGAATATCTGGAAAGGTTTGGAGTTCAAGTGACTTGTTGAAGAGCAATGCAATAGCAGGAGCTAAAGATCTGGAGGCTTTTTTGTAAATAAGAGTTGGTATCTCCTGAAGGGCGTTAGACTTGGTTTTAAGAGAAAGGATTATCTCATTAACATCAGTAGAATTTGCAGGCATTAGGTACAGAGACTGTGGATAGTTACCAGTAAGATAGTCCTGAACATCAGTACTGGAAGATGGAATATCATTTGCAAGGGATGACCCAATGGAAGAGAAGAACCTATTGAACTCAATAACCGTATGAGAGGCTGTAAGCTGACCATCGTTATTGGACAGGAGTATTGGTTTGTTATTTAAAATCTTCTTTGATCCCAATATTTGTGAAAGTATGCTCCATGTTTTCTTAATGTTGCACTTCGTTTGGGTAAATTTATCTTCGTAGTATTTAGTTTTGGCTCTTCTAATTATTTTAGATAGCAATGATGAGTAATTCTTTGAAAATTCTTTGGAGACGATTCCTAACCTATACTTCATCTCAAGGTCAAGTTTTTTATTAATGGATTTAAGTATTCCCTTTGTAAGCCAAGGATTGTTTAGCCTTTTCGTTTTGACTTGTTTCGTTAGCATAGGACAGTGGGTGTTATAAAGGCTGAGAGTTTTTTGAAGAAAAGATTGCACTGCTAGTTTGATGTCCCCTACGTTACCTAACTCGGTCTCCCAGTTGACATTAGCAGCAGCAGCTATAAAATTGCCTATAGCAGTTTCATTGTGGAGCCTAAAGCTTATCTCCCTTGTCTCTAGAGGTGGTTTGTTAATGTTAGTTAAGAGAAATGTGGGGTAATGGTCTGTAGTGATATCGATGATTATCCCTGAAGTAAGCGGAGAGGTTATGTTTGTCCAGATGTGGTCAAGAGCCGTGGCAGTACTATCAGTGATTCTAGTAGATCTAGTGATTAAGGGTATGAGGAAACAGGAATTCATACAGTTGAGGAAGCTGGCAGTAGGAGGGTTATCAGGCTCGCAGAGGTAAACGTTAAAGTCACCATATACTCTCCAAAAGGGTCTCTAGATTTAATTACTTTTAAGCAAGTCATTTCTTGGTGGTAGTAAAGAGAAGTACCACCACCTCTTTGTACAGGACGACAGTTGTGAATAACTGAGTAGTTAGGTATGTTGAAGAGTTGAGTAGTGTCCTCTTTTAACCACTTTTCAGTAAACGTATTAAAAGAGAATTTGTTGTCAACTGAATCAGGGCATTAACATCATCAAAGTGTTTGCTTAGAGATCTTACATTCAAGTTAATTACAGAAACATTGTGATTACGTGTTAAAACATTGTTCACATCATGTGCTGTATAATACCTGCAATTTTGATCATTAAAGTGATGAGTGTCATAGATACTAGATAAGAGGTTAAAGTCTGGGTCTATAATAGGTTGCATAAGAGGGCTGTTTAACAGAAAAAGCCAAAAAAGACAATTATAAAAAACTAGATATGAAAAAAATAATATAAAACTATACTCAAAAGGAGGTGGGAGCTGCCTCGAATGGGCCAATAAGCCTTCGGCAGTTGCCTTATTCTCATGTTCTTATGTTCATAATTTGGCAAAGGTTGGAAGTTATCGATGTCTTCTATTGGTGTGAGGATAATGAGAAAATTAATATGAGTGGAAATGGACTCAGGATGGCAAAGATGAGGAGTTGTGTAGAAGGTGGTATCAAAGTATAGCTGTTTAATGCAAAGTGTGAGGTTTAGTCCAGAGACGGAGATTGTGAGTCGAAGTATGTTTGGAAGTTAGTCGCAATTCAGATAGGTTAGGGTAGATTATGGTAGGGGAAGTTAGAGTACATTAAGTAACATGGTGTTAATGTGTATAAGGTTAGATTGGGTAGGTTGGTTGAAGATGGGCTGTTATGTTGTCGTATTTCGAATTATTACGTCTGGGATGTGATCACATCGGTCGTCTTTGACGTGCCAGTAGTACACCGTGCTGAATATCTGGGAGTGGTTGGAGGATGTGTCGTGAGTGTAGTTTATGTGGTTTTTCAGTCAAAGTGTCAGGTCGTTGGGAGGTTTGTACAGCTTGGGAGTTTCTTACTCGTGGTGCTGGTGGTTGGGGGTTTGTGGCAAGTCAGCCTGGGGAGTGACTTGGGTAAGGCTTGCTGCGAAGTCATTTAGGAAGTTTTCCATCATCAGTTCAAACGATGTGTTTCCAGCAATGGAAGCTGTATTAGGGCGGATGTCATTGTCTGTAGATGTCGGTGGGGTGTCTGTTGGGTCAGCCTCGGGGAATTGGTTGATTACGTTTGTAAAAAAAAAAAATTGTTAGGAGTCGGTCCAGCATATTTTCCAGTTCATTTTTTATTGCGAGTGACAAGAGTCTCAACAAGAACGGGACATAGTTGTACGTTTTGTGGAAGAGGATTGGACTCTGGGGGTACAGGATTGTCAGTGACAGACATAACAGGTACCCGCAAAGGTTGTGGTTGAGTGTGGTGGACTGTTGATGATGGACTGATATAGGTTGTTTCAATGCACAACTGTATTGCAGGTTGTTGCGCCTAACAGGCAGGCGCAGTTAGTCTCAGTGAGAGGGTGTGTAGCTGGAGCTCCACTAGTCCTGATACTGAAAATGAAAGTTGTAGTGAGTGAACTGGTGCTGGTGAGGGAGCTGTGTGGAGCTCTGAGGGCAGAGGTGGATTACCTGCGGGAGGAGCTACGACAGATGGAGCTAAGACAGACGAATCACAGTCAAGAAGAAGCAAATGAAGAGCGCAGCAGTAGAAAGTCGTCGTCCTGGAATGTCGTAAGGGACAGGGGGTCTTAAGAAGACTTTGACAAAGCCGCCTACAGATGCCATAAAGACTTCCAACCCATTCGCCGTCCTAGAAGACGAATGCTGTGGGGAGACTGTAGTTCCCTCGAAAGACAAGACAGTGAAAGGAGCGCAGGTCCTAAAGGAAGTAACTAAGCAAATTTTAGTTGATGGAGATTCTCAGGTGAGGTATCTGGATAGAGGTTTTTGTGCTAGAGATAGGGGGGGGGGGAGACAGGTTAAGGGTTTACTATCTGGGAGCTGGAATTGGTGACATTGTTAACAACATGAATGATGATATTATGGCCGGAAATGGGAACAAACCCACTATTTGTATCAGTGCCGGTGGAACTGATGTTGGACGAGTTAGGAGTGAGGCACTGATACAGAGGTTTAAGACAGTGGAGACCAGTGTTGTGACCCGTGGGTGGTGGCCACTGTTGTGACCCGTGGGTGGTGGCCAGTGTTGTGACCCGTGGGTGGTGACCAGTGTTGTGACCCGTGGGTGGTGACCAGTGTTGTGACCCGTGGGTGGTGACCAGTGTTGTGACCCGTGGGTGGTGGCCAGTGTTGTGACCCGTGGGTGGTGGCCAGTGTTGTGACCCGTGGGTGGTGGCCAGTGTTGTGACCCGTGGGTGGTGGCCAGTGTTGTGACCCGTGGGTGGTGGCCACTGTTGTGACCCGTGGGTGGTGACCAGTGTTGTGACCCGTGGGTGGTGGCCAGTGTTGTGACCCGTGGGTGGTGGCCAGTGTTGTGACCCGTGGGTGGTGGCCAGTGTTGTGACCCGTGGGTGGTGACCAGTGTTGTGACCCGTGGGTGGTGGCCAGTGTTGTGACCCGTGGGTGGTGACCAGTGTTGTGACCCGTGGGTGGTGACCAGTGTTGTGACCCGTGGGTGGTGACCAGTGTTGTGACCCGTGGGTGGTGGCCAGTGTTGTGACCCGTGGGTGGTGGCCAGTGTTGTGACCCGTGGGTGGTGACCAGTGTTGTGACCCGTGGGTGGTGGCCAGTGTTGTGACCCGTGGGTGGTGACCAGTGTTGTGACCCGTGGGTGGTGACCAGTGTTGTGACCCGTGGGTGGTGGCCAGTGTTGTGACCCGTGGGTGGTGACCAGTGTTGTGACCCGTGGGTGGTGACCAGTGTTGTGACCCGTGGGTGGTGGCCAGTGTTTTGACCCGTGGGTGGTGACCAGTGTTGTGACCCGTGGGTGGTGGCCAGTGTTGTGACCCGTGGGTGGTGACCAGTGTTGTGACCCGTGGGTGGTGGCCAGTGTTGTGACCCGTGGGTGGTTACCAGTGTTGTGACCCGTGGGTGGTTACCAGTGTTGTGACCCGTGGGTGGTGACCAGTGTTGTGACCCGTGGGTGGTGGCCAGTGTTGTGACCCGTGGGTGGTGACCAGTGTTGTGACCCGTGGGTGGTGACCAGTGTTGTGACCCGTGGGTGGTGGCCAGTGTTGTGACCCGTGGGTGGTGGCCTGTGTTGTGACCCGTGGGTGGTGGCCAGTGTTGTGACCCGTGGGTGGTGGCCAGTGTTGTGACCCGTGGGTGGTGACCAGTGTTGTGACCCGTGGGTGGTGACCAGTGTTGTGACCCGTGGGTGGTGGCCAGTGTTGTGACCCGTGGGTGGTGACCAGTGTTGTGACCCGTGGGTGGTGACCAGTGTTGTGACCCGTGGGTGGTGACCAGTGTTGTGACCCGTGGGTGGTGACCAGTGTTGTGACCCGTGGGTGGTGGCCAGTGTTGTGACCCGTGGGTGGGGGCCAGTGTTGTGACCCGTGGGTGGTGACCAGTGTTGTGACCCGTGGGTGGTGACCAGTGTTGTGACCCGTGGGTGGTGACCAGTGTTGTGACCCGTGGGTGGTGGCCAGTGTTGTGACCCGTGGGTGGTGACCAGTGTTGTGACCCGTGGGTGGTGACCAGTGTTGTGACCCGTGGGTGGTGACCAGTGTTGTGACCCGTGGGTGGTGGCCAGTGTTGTGACCCGTGGGTGGTGGCCAGTGTTGTGACCCGTGGGTGGTGACCAGTGTTGTGACCCGTGGGTGGTGACCAGTGTTGTGACCCGTGGGTGGTGACCAGTGTTGTGACCCGTGGGTGGTGGCCAGTGTTGTGACCCGTGGGTGGAGGCCAGTGTTGTGACCCGTGGGTGGTGACCAGTGTTGTGACCCGTGGGTGGTGGCCAGTGTTGTGACCCGTGGGTGGTGGCCAGTGTTGTGACCCGTGGGTGGTGGCCAGTGTTGTGACCCGTGGGTGGTGACCAGTGTTGTGACCCGTGGGTGGTGACCAGTGTTGTGACCCGTGGGTGGTGGCCAGTGTTGTGACCCGTGGGTGGAGGCCAGTGTTGTGACCCGTGGGTGGAGGCCAGTGGTGCGCGTGACGCCTGCGCGGAGGGCAGTGCTCACATTTATAGACACTTCTGCGGCCAAAGTATGAACATTTTGCATTGTTTTCAACATTTATTTGGTCAGAAGAAGGATATTTACTAATTTTTAAATGAATTTGTTTTTTAAAATTCTTTATTTCTGCTGCACCATCTGTTTGTTATATTTTACAGCTGTGCAGTACAGTGGTTAATGTGCAGTTGTCACTGGTGATCAGGTAATGGAGACTGGTTCTGCCTAGATCTCATTTTACCCTCCATGTAATCCCTGAAAGAAAGAAGTCCTCTATTAGTAAAGTAGATGATTAGTCTAGATGTATATAGATGCATCAGTATTAATTACCACGTGTTCCCACTGACGTGAGCGGGTAGTGTATAGATGCATCAGTATTAATTACCACGTGTTCCCACTGACGTGAGCGGGTAGTGTATAGATGCATCAGTATTACCACGTGTTCCCACTGACGAGAGCGGGTAGTATATAGATGCATCAGTATTACCACGTGTTCCCACTGATGTGAGCGGGTAGTATATAGATGCATCAGTATTACCACGTGTTCCCACTGACGTGAGCGGGTAGTATATAGATCCATCAGTATTAAGACGTGTTCCCACTGACGTGAGCGGGTAGTGTATAGATGCATCAGTATTACCACGTGTTCCCACGGACGTGAGCGGGTAGTATATAGATGCATCAGTATTACCACGTGTTCCCACTGACGAGAGCGGGTAGTATATAGATGCATCAGTATTACCACGTGTTCCCACTGACGTGAGCGGGTAGTATATAGATCCATCAGTATTACCACGTGTTCCCACTGATGTGAGCGGGTAGTATATAGATGCATCAGTATTACCACGTGTTCCCACTGACGTGAGCGGGTAGTATATAGATCCATCAGTATTACCACGTGTTCCCACTGATGTGAGCGGGTAGTATATAGATGCATCAGTATTACCACGTGTTCCCACGGACGTGAGCGGGTAGTATATAGATGCATCAGTATTACCACGTGTTCCCACTGACGAGAGCGGGTAGTATATAGATGCATCAGTATTACCACGTGTTCCCACTGATGTGAGCGGGTAGTATATAGATGCATCAGTATTACCACGTGTTCCCACGGACGTGAGCGGGTAGTATATAGATCCATCAGTATTACCACGTGTTCCCACTGATGTGAGCGGGTAGTATATAGATGCATCAGTATTACCACGTGTTCCCACTGATGTGAGCGGGTAGTATATAGATCCATCAGTATTACCACGTGTTCCCACGGACGTGAGCGGGTAGTATATAGATGCATCAGTATTACCACGTGTTCCCACGGACGTGAGCGGGTAGTATATAGATGCATCAGTATTACCACGTGTTCCCACTGACGTGAGGCGGCAAAAGAACTGCGAGGTAAAATAAAGGTTCAAAATATCCCACAAGTTTCATATGAATAATAATATGACGTTAAATATAACAATTTATTTATATATAGTACAAATTAGAATATTATATATATAGCTCATTGAGTCGCTATAGCATTCAAAGTACTAAATATAGCATCAGTATCAAAGAACTTTGGTGGCTCAGGCCCTGAGCCCATTATGTGCCTCTGTAACCTTTTCCACTGCTGCCCACATTATGTGCATGGGGTGCATAATAAATGATGTAAACGACTCAACTAAACTGTTAAAGAATTAATAATATAACAGTAAATGTCCAGAGTAGCAACCCACAGCTTCTATAGACCAGGTGCTTGGCCCTCTCCTCTTTCTCATCTACATTAATGACCTTCCAAATGCCTCCCAACATCTCAAACCAATTCTCTTTGCTGACGACACTACCTTCATTTAGTCCAGTCCTGACCCCCTTGCTCTAAATGTCACAGTGAATACTGAGCTAAATAAAGTCCATCACTGGCTAACTGCCAACAAACTCACCCTCAGTATTGACAAAACTTTCTATATTTTGTTTGGCAATAAATCCTCAAATCAAATAAATCTCAGGATAAACAATACCCAAATTTGTAACAAAGTAGATGGCAAATTCCTTGGCGTTCTCATTGACCGCAAGCTGAATTTCCAGGGACACATTCTAAATATATCAAAAATAGTTTAAAAAACTGTTGGCATTCTGTCTAAGATCAGATATTATGTACCTCGCCCTGCCCTGGTGACACTATTATTCTCTCATCTATCCTTATCTCAACTATTGTATTTGTGCTTGGGGTTCTACTACCCTAAATCATTTACGTCTTCTAATTACCCAACACAAAGCTGCTATTAGGACAATATCGTACTCTGGCCCCAGACATCACTTGGTACCCTTACTCAAATCTCTGAATATGTTAGATACTAAGTCCCTGCACATCCTCTCATGTGTATTTTATATATATAAAACGCTGAACTGTAATGTCAATCCTGACCTTAAAAGCTTCCAAGAAGGTTGTAACAGATCCCATGAGCACCACACCAGAAACAAATTTATTTATTTATTTTTTTATTTATATACAAGAAGGTACATTGGGTTTGTGAGAATTCATAGCATAGTACAGTAATTGCATTCTTGTAAAGCCACTAGTACGCGCAGCGTTTCGGGCAGGTCAAATACCTATTTGATATTCCAAGAGTACGACTTAGTCAAACTAGAAATGCTTTACAAATGAAAGGACCCAGAATGTGGAATGATCTTCCCAATTATGTTAAAGACTGTACCTCTCCCAACCAGTTTAAGATAAAAACTAAGCACTACCTAATTAACTCAATGTAACCTACCTCACCCCCAAAATGTCAACCCATGTCTTCTATTTTAAACAATGCTGTTTTGTTGACCAAATTGTATTTTTGCTTTTTTTTTTGCCATGTTTCCCTCCCCCCTTTTCTTCCATTCTTTTCTTATTTTTTCTCAACACAATTTATACTTTAATCTCAATTAGTATTAAGTTTCAGTCTTAGTGTTTTTCCTGCCCGAAACACTTTGCGTAATAGTGGCTTTAGGCATTGTATGTACTAGCTCTATCCATAAATCCATCAACTTGTGTATCTTACCTTGTATGTATGTACCTTACCTGAATAAAATTTTGTATTTGTATTTATATTTTTAGTTACATCATATATCGCTGCATCAGGTGGTGTCGACCTCTGCTCGCTTGTGCTCTCCACTGTAAGCTGTATTACAGCCCTCAACTACCCTCAGATGATGTAGAACACCACCTACAGGCAGCTAAGTACATGGAGTCCAAGCATGTCATAACACATCGACAGTAACCAACCATATCAACTCATTCCATCGCAAACAAAATTCAAAACAAACTTTTCCTGCTGAGAGTACCAGTGCCTGCTGCCCGCCTCCGTGCCGCCTGACGCAAGTTTCCTGTACAACATATTCCCCATATCATACTCAACCAACCATGTCTCTTAACAGCAAGGTTGCGCAGGGAAAAAGAACCACAAATCTCCAAACAAGGTTCCCATCTAGAACAACACCAACAGCCATCGTTCTTTGCAATCTGCGGTCCGAGGCGGCACTGCACTTCTCTCCTTTCTACACCATCACTAATCCAGGTCATTGTGTCCTCCCAATCATCTACAAATTCCTAGCTAACATCCTACTTCTCGCACTTCAAGCGTGCTGCTGATCCATCGCAGGATTTCCATAACAGGACCGAGAATCTGTGGTTCAAAAAGCTGTGTCTAGTCATTGAGGCTCAAATTACGATCATTCAGAGCCTTCAAAGTGAGGATCAAGTGAACCACGTGAACCTACATCAACAACAACAAGCAATAACCAACCTCCACGATGAGAGTAGAGCTGGTCAAGCCAGCCAAGAACAATTCCAGCATGACATGAACCGTCTCCGTGAGGAAAATACGAGTCTGAAAACCAGTGAATCCATAAAAAAACAAGAGGAAGCTCTTGATGAAATGAATGCGTATATCAATGCGTATATTAGGGAGCTGGTCGGCCGAATGGACAGCACGCTGGACTTGTGATCAGTAGTGTGAAAAGGCGCTACGAAGGACCGTTTTGCTTTTTCCAGCGGTCCTTCGTAGGGCCATGGGTTTTTGTATGTTTATCCCCAACGGTCCTCCGTAGCGCCTAGTCCATTTCGTTACCCCGGCGAACAAGTCAAAGTTTTTTATCAACGGTCCTTCGTAGGGCCATGGGTTTTTTCCATATTTTACCCAACGGTCCTTGGTAGTCTCCTAATATTTTCATTCATTTTATTGTCCCCTCCCGAATGTCATATAGAATTTTCCAACTGTTATATTAAAAGGTTCGCTCCTAGGCCCCAGCCATTTTGTTTCAAGGGGATTAAAAGGTCCCTCGTAGTCACACATGTTTTTCGTTACCCCAGTGACCCATGCACAGGCATCGGTCAATGACGTCATCAGCTAGCCAGTCTTCATCTTCCCTGAATAAGTCCATTTTCTGTTATAGTGTAATTATTCCCATTTTCAATATTTATAGTAAAGGGGGATTAAAAGGCTGCCTTCTGTCAAGCCTAATGTACAATGACGTCATCCATTATAAGCTCGTTTTTCTCAATAAGGTATTTCCATACTATTGCCAATTTTTCTAGGATCATTTCAAAGCTAAGATTTCATATTACCACAAGAAATGAGTTCAGCTCTGTCACCAAAGGAGTATTTACCCAGGTCTTTTTCCTAAATCTAAAACTTATTCCAATTTATACCCATTTTTTCGTGTTCTATCTCGTGTTTATAGCCTATTAATATCCCCCTTTATCATGTCCATTCTTTAACACCTCTATCATGTCACCCCTATTTCTTCTTCTTCTATCTAGAGAATGTAATTTAAGCTTTGTCCATCTTTCTTCAAGGATCGTTTATTGAGCATAGGGCAAATAAAATTGAAAACCCACTATCATCCATTTGTATAAAAACAGTCCCCTGCCAGGCGTAGTGATTTCAATGCGATTTCAGTACTAATCCAATATTACTGCATAAACTAACAGTCCCCTGCCAGGCATGGTGACTTCAATGCAATTTCAGTAGTAATCCAATATTACTGCATAAACGCATAAATATATATATATGCGCATCTCACATTCACTCAAAACATACCTACCACACCTTACTGTAGCACATAACAGATCAAAAATACTCATTCAGTAAAAGCAAGGCCTTCTGCAAAGTACCTTCTTTTGTGACGTCATCATCCCTAATAGGTGCAAGGCGTCAACGGTCTAAATGCGGATCCCAGTAGGTTCACACATAAGTGTGAATTCTTAATCTGGCTTAATACCTCGA